GTTTAGTTCATGTTTCTTGAAAAATAAAGAAATTCATCATCAGATGATGATGACAGCTTTTTCGTGCAACAGCACGCTTTCTTCATTCATTTTGTACATTCTAGGGAGACAGTCTGTGGTCCCCATCTCTTTTGTCTAAGGCAGACATTCACTATTTTGAACCATTCCACTGTCGGTGGCTGCATACTCAGTGTTCAGTATTCTACTTTTCTACCTCTCCAGCTCATTCCACACTCACAATGATACACAGTACATGGTGACTTTATTAAGCTAAAATGGCCTGCCACATTTTGCTGTATGTCACTGCTGAATGCAATACTCACATCATTGTCCAAAAGGCAGTCCCAATACCATTCTTAGGGATCTGTTTCATCCCATGTGTAATTATGGCATTAAAAAATAGTGATGCAAACACTGTACATTTTTTTCCATAGGTTGCTAAACTCAGTGAAGTGAAACTATTTTTATTCAGTTTTTCCAACTGAAGGTTACGTTTCACAAATAATTATCCAAAAGATGTATAAAACCAAGCCCAAATACATCAATACAATGTATTTGTAGCAAAAATCTGAATTGTCAAAGGCAGTCCATTATTAAAATACACATGCAATGAAAACTGCATACAGCACTGGATGGATTGCTTTGTCAGCAAAGCTTTTACAATTTCTAATTCATCACTCCAAGTAAAGTAATTTTTCTAGTTTTCAGCAAGTAAATATGTTTGATATTCAAAATCAGGAATACAGTCACTTCAGATGCAAATTAATTCTAAAATGAAAATTAACATTTAGTAATTGTAAAATCACAAAAAATGTTAGTCATGCTCTATCTATTCCCTTAATGTATAAGGAAATAAGAAGCTATAAATAATTAAATGAATGAAAATTCATGTATCATCATGAAATAACCTCTTACATGTAAAACATGGCAGGAAAACCAACCAATATGTGCATATCCTTTCCAAAACACAGAACCCCCAATTCATAATGCATATTACAGAGAACTTTACAAGAGAAAAAGAGCTGTGGAAATATCTCAGCATCCCATTCAGGACAAATCAAGACTACAGTCTTGGCAGCATAGCAATCAGGCTGGAGTGTGAAAACAGACTGTCTCGAGCCAGTGCAGCTACACCAGCAAGCCACACATCCCTACAAATATCCCTAACTACAACCATTACTCATTAACCCATCCCCTCATACAGCAAGAATGCAATTTCCCTGGTTTAGCATACAAAAATTGCTAAGGTAACTTAACAGCAGCGTGAGATTTCCTGCAGTTCCTATCACTGCAGGAGGAACCAGAAGAAAACCCTGCACCCCACAATCCCGATTTCATAGTTTTTATTTAAACAAAAGCTACCGTGACGGTAGCAATGAGAAATTACTGCTCATGGTCTCTGATGCTTGCAGTTATCAAGTTCCATATTATTCCTAGATCTAGTTTTGACTGGACCACATGGAAAATGAGATTGAGGAGCTGTAAGTAAACATAAGAACTTAAAAACAACCCAGAGAAAGGAGATCAACTTTCTCCTCTGAGTGCACAATGAGATGAGATAAAAGTTATCTGATTTTACATGTGATCTAATAAGGCAAAACTGACTTGCTCTGCACTGCTGAGATCCACCATTTGGGCAAAACCCCAAGGAGTTAAGTTTACTTTATATGCAAGCTAGTTTGGAACAAAGCATGATCACTGGGATCCTCATTTCCCATGATACCGTCAAAAAGAAGGCATCTGTGAAACCCCTACGCCTGACAGGGTCACTAAACTGAAACTTTAAACTTTATTTATGCATATTTATGCAAATTAATATACAGAATGCCTGATAACTTGCAATTCTATGTTATTACTATTTTAGAGACATAGAGAATTTACATTACAAATGCTATCCAAACTGGAATAAAAGTATGTATGCTCAGAAAAAAAAATCTGGCAATCACAGAGACATGAATATTCTTGAGATTTCCTTGCATACAAACCAAAAATTGAAGAAATTCGCCTCCAATATACCAGATTTATGGGGTTACAACTTTTGAGTGGCCCACTACCTAACGCAAATCATTAAATGCCCAGGACATCAGCCTAAAAATCCAAGGCTGGATAAAATTCAGGCAGCTTATTTCCTTTTAATTATCAGGAAGGTGGCCTTCAGTACATTAGGTGGGGACTGACTGAATCAGAGTCTTGGGACCACTGCCAAACAGTGTGTTTCAAGATCAGCTGCTCATGAAGGAGAGTCACCTACTTTCATTTTCTGTGCATACACTGAAATTCTCCAAAGACTGCCAGGTAGACATGATCACATACCAGATATCAGGTTTTTACTCAGCTGTGCAGCTCAATGGCAAAACCTTTTGCCAGAGTTGGAAGTCCTTACTCAGCATGTACCACATGCTCATAAGGCTCACACAACCAACTCTTCTGCAGTCTTTTCTCTTGTCCATCTGCTACCAATGCTATTTCTAATTAGCCACACTCCCAGATACTTCCTCCAGCATTTCTAAATAACATGAAATGCCTAATATAAGATGTAGCATTCTGAATGAGGTCCATGCCAGCAGTGATTCATAGAGCCTCCCAAGGATTCTCCTTTGAAAAGTCTACATGGTGTTCATTTGTGTTTCACCAATCCTCACATCGAAACAGGGATTTCATCAAGACTGAACTGAACACTATGAAAGCGCATTTGAAGAAACACAATGGCCCACACTGGACTGTTTGGATAACTTTATCCCAGTTGAGTTAGTTATGTGTGGTACCTTGCAGAAGTTCCTTAATGTTACTTTGTATATCACAGTGAAAATTGTGATGTTAGATCACAGTTACTTCCTGCACTCCAGAGTCCAAAACACTCTGCATCACAGCTAGTACACTCATTGCTGGGTCAAAGATACATGCTCTTCCCTGAAATCATAGGAGTTTGAATTGCTAAACAAGCTTCTCCACAGAAAGAGTATGTTCGAAATTCACCGCAAGTAGCTGAAAGTTACTTTTAAGTATGGAACCAGAAAAGGGCTTTAACAGGATTTCCTTGAGGACTTACATAGTACTGAGTCCTCTTTCTAGTCCTATTTCAGTTATTTTCATTATTGTGTAACTTGTCAAGATGGAGCTAAAAAACCAGGCAGGCTTCTGGCTGATGGCAGAAGACAGTTTTGTTTGGCTTCTCAGGAAATGCTTTGACTTCATCTATCTGGCTAGTGATAACCAGCACAAACACATATTACAGTGTATACAACACTGCAGGTAGATAGTAAATAGTAAAATCGTTACAAAAGTAAGATGTATTTCCACTAGAAGACCTTGCCAGTATATACCATCTACTATACTACTTACTTTATAAGCTTCTCTAATACAGCATATGGAGTAGCATAGCATACAGCAACATACTCTGATGTTGACTTGTATAACCTTCTGTTCTCATTCTCATAAGGATCCAAGCAGTTCACAATGCTCCAGTATGTTATTTGGGACATATCTGAAATATGCATAAATATTTGACTAAGTCTGAGCAGACACAGAGCTCTCTGCATACATTTCAACTTCATACTTGCTAATACTGCAGCATAAAACCAGAACTGCACCCAGCTCTTTCTCCCATATTTCATACTTCATAGCCATCAATCAGATTTTTTTTCCTTATTATTGAAAAGTCAGCATTAGAAAGACCTTGGAGAGAGTACATTATTATCCCACTGGAAAAGTTATCCCTTACATAGAAAGTGAGCAAACATAAACGGCAGCTATTGAGAAAACAAATTCTGAACAATGCAACCTAATCATACAATCGTAGAATAGAATCATGGAATAGTTGGGGTTGGAAAGGACCTTAAGATCATCAAGTCCCAACCCCCCTGCCATGGGCAGGGATACTTCACATTAAACCGTATCACCCAAGGCCTCGTTCAACCTGGTGTTGAACACTGCCAGGGATGGAGCATTCACAACCTCCTTGGGCAACCCATTCCAGTGCCTCACCACCCTCACAGGAAAGAATTTTCTCCTTATATCCAATCTAAACTTCCCCTGTTTCAGTTTTAACCCGTTACCCCTTGTCCTGTCACTACAGTCTCTAATGAAGAGTCCATCCCCCGCATCCCTATAGGCCCCCTTCAGATACTGGAAGACTGCTAGGAGGTCTCCATGCAGCCTTCTCTTCTCCAGGCTGAACAGCCCCAACTTCCTCAGCCTGTCTTCATAGGGGAGGTGTTCCAGTCCCCTGATCATCCTCATAGCCCTCCTCTGGACTTGTTCCAACAGTTCCATGTCCTTTTTATGTTGAGGACACCAGAACTGCACACAATACTCCAGGTGAGGTCTCACAAGAGCAGAGTAGAGGGGCAGGATCACCTCCTTTGACCTGCTGGTCACGCTCCTTTTGATGCAGCCCAGGATACGGTTGGCTTTCTGGGCTGCAAGCGCACACTGAAGCCGGCTCATGTTCAGTTTCTCATCAACCATCACCGCCAAGTCCTTCTCCGCAGGGCTGCTCTGAATCTCTTCTCTGCCCAACCTGTAGCTGTGCCTGGGATTGCTCCGACAAATCTTTTTGCCTATTTTGTATCTGTTTTATACAATCAGATTTAATATTGCTTTACATCAAAATATTTTTAAGGATTCTAAATAAGCTTCAAATACTAAACAGCTCTGAAACCTGATTTGATACAAACATTTTAAGAATTGAATCTACAACTGTTCATCTCAAGCGCCTACACCCCGAGATGTACATATATGCATTTTTAAAATACTAACACAGTAAAGAAATCAGGATTGAAGTTGAGCCCAGGAAGAAGTGGGGGGAGGGGGAAAGGTGTTTTAAGATTTAATTTCTCATTATCCTACTCTAATTCGATCTCAATGAAATGAGAAATGAACTCAAAGTTCATTTCCCCAAGTCAAGTCTATTTTGCCCATGATGGTATTTGCTGAGTGATCTCCCTCTCCTTATCTCAAGCCATGAGCCTTTCATCATATTTTTGTCTCCCCCTATCCAGTTGAAGACGGGGAGTGATAGACCAGCTTGGTGGGCAGCTGGCCTCCAGCCAGCATCAACCCACAACAGTAAGGTAAGTAAGGACATACAGAAGGGGAAGAAGTGAAAGACACTCTTTTCCATTGCACTCTAACTAATGTACTGGAGGAGAGGGAATACCTCTGCCTTGTAATGGAGCACTTGGAAAATCAGGACTAGAATTGAAATAAAAAGCATAAGAAACACAGAATTCAAGAGAGGAAAATAAACAGCAGAACTCAGGTCTGCCAGAAGGTCACCAGGTAAAACAGCCACCACCACCCTGATTTAGCTGGGTGAGAAGGAGGGAAAGGAGAAGGACTAGTGTTACAGATCTGCAGAGTAATGAAATTAGAAAAAGAACATGGCTCTACAGAACCACGTATTTATGGCTATTTTATATGCTGGTGTTTTAAAGACTAACACAAGATCTTGATAGCTAAAGGAAGGATGTAGTAAGTGAAAGAAAACAGGATTGACATGAAAAGACAATAATCACTGATGATAGGCATGTAAAGATACAAAAGGATTCAAGAAAACAGAAAAAGTAAATTAAAGGCAGACAAGAGAAGGTGACTTCCAAGCCAAAGACTCACTGGAAAGAATGACTGTAGAGAGGTTAGGGACAAAGCCAAAATTACTGGTTCTGACAAGCTTGTCTCAGTGTCCTGATAACTGAACTGAGTTGACCAAGACAAAGTAAAAACCTGCCAATAGCAGTATGATCAATCATCAAGCAAAACAAGGAAGGCAGAGATAATACTAAATCTAGAATACTCCTAGTAACCTGTGAAATGATGTCTATTACAAACGCTCCTCAGAGGCTTGTGTCAAAACCAGTGGGGTTTTCCCACATATGGGGTAGACTTGGTTTAGGCAGCTAGGGGTGTGCAAAATTCAACCTCAACAGGGTTCACAGAAAACCCTGCATCCTTTTGGGATTCAGAATACCAAGGTGAGGACTGGCACATAAAAAGAGGCAGAGTCCTCCTTTTAAAAAAATGGTTGCTATAGCAAATTTACCTGTTAAAAGACAGCTATGGGACCAAGGGAAAGAAGCTTAAACCCACCTTTCCCCATTTTCCAAAAGTGCCCTACATTCTACACTGCAAAATACTCTGTTAATGAGATGCTCTTCATTCCTCCTGGGCACATGCTGTTAAGGAAAATTAAATGAGGTAATAAGCTAAAGGAGCTTGTCTCCTGTAATTTTAGCATGCTGATTTTAGGTATGCTGGCTTTGTTCGAATGCGTAAGTCATGTTCACATAATGTACATCAGAAATATGAAAAACCAAATTTATTAAACAGGTTCCAGATAAAACAGGAAGACAGGGAGATGAAAAACATGGAAAATATTTCTGCCAAGTTTTGAAAAGGTTGATTTTGAACATCTGGTTTCTCAATAATTCCAGAAAATCCATTTAAGACTTTTTGCTGACAGGATCCTCTTTAGATAGCCAAAGGAAGTTTAGAAGACAAGTCATAACTATGAAATAATATATGCTGGTTTACTTTTTCATAGTCAGACTATAAACTATTGTTATGAAGTAATACTGGTACTACATACTAAGGTAAGAAAGCAATCACCCAACATAGCAATCACTACATACTCACCCATATCTGTAATGGTGCAGCCAACTATAAGAAGCCAAAAAATAGACTACAAATATCTTTCCAAGAACTGGAACTGTAATCACCCTGAAAACAGGGATTACCACAGTTGTATTCCTCAATAACAGAAGTTGTCCATAACTGTGACTACTTAACACTCAACAAGAAAGAAGGCATCAAGGTCTTTAAGAGAACCAGTTAATGTAAGACAGGAAAAAAAAATCACAAAAGAAAACATCTACAAACCTCCATTCAGTCAGCTAATGAGTTACTTCTACTTGGAACTAGTATTTCTCAGAAAGTCGTTAGCCAAAGGTAAATGCAGACAGTGTACTCAACTGAAAAAAAACACACATCTTTATTCCCAGCTTTCTAACCACCCTCCACCCCTCCCACACATACATATTTGGTACCATTATGAACTGAATATTACTATACTCAAGAGATAAATGGGTGAACACACAAACTGTTGTGAATCTACTCTTCCCTGCATGCCGTTAAATCAGTTTTATTTCTTCTTCTGTTTATAGATCTCAGAGATGCCCACAGTGCTGTTTCACTCCCCTATTATAAGATGATGCAGAATGGCTAGATGAGGTGTCAACAACTCATGTGGGACATTCCAAGTTGTATTACTCTGCTGGTTACCACCGCTTAACTCCATTTTCTCAGCACCTACTTAAAACCACACTGAACTGAAGAGAAGCCGGCTAAAAATGAAAAACTACATAATGCTTGCAGGAGAAGATCATTAGTGAATCCCTGGCAACATGACCTCAAATAGTCTCAGAATGTTAAGACAGTTGTTTTGGACTTCCCAGTCCAGACCCAAATGGCTGTGGTGACAAAAGCATGCTTATCCACCTGCAGCTGACCAAGAAAGACTGTGCTCTTTCCTCTTAATGATGAAAGGATCCATGCATGAATGGCTTCCAGAGTTCTGCAACAAATCTCTAATAACGGTCTTGGAAAAAGCTGACTGCATCTCCACAACTACTTTACTGCTGTATTCCAGTCCCTGTTCTGCAGAGTTCTTTGTTTTACACAATCCTCAACTAGTCTCTTGTCTCAATATCCAGGATCTCCACTGGGATCAGCTCTCATGTTCCCACACACAACCACAAACTACAATGTTTCAGCAGAAAATTAAACTCTCAAACAGCAGCAGAAAGCTGGTGACTGCAAATACAGCAACTTTCTCAGCAACTGCACCCATACCAGAAAACTTCTCAATAAAAGCAGACTTGCCATTCAAAAAGCTAAACATAAAAGTCACGTTTCTAACTCGGTTTCCTCTTCATCAGCTATACATGCAAAACAGGTCCATACTTTCAGGGAAACAATATACTAATGAAATTTTTACTGAACAGAAGGGAGAAAAGATCTATTTTTACTCTTTGAGAGAAGTAGTAATAACACTCGCTCCCTCTGTAAACTACAAGGAGGGGGAAATAAAGATCCTAACCTGAGACAGACGCACTTACTGAAACCAATATCCTAGGAAATCATGTATCCCAGGTGACCACTTCTCAGAAGAGCTCCTAGGATTATAGCACAAGTTAAACAAAAAGCTAACATCTCACTTTGCTGGGTGCTAGAGTTCAGGCTTACAGTTCAGGCTTTTTCTCCAGGGAAAGGAATTACCTACAGATGCTCTTCAGCAACAGCTCTGTAAAATACCAAAGGAGAATAAATGAACCCTTAGGATAAAGCAGAGGCATCTAGTTTCTTCAGCCAAAACAGTCATTTGTAACAGAATGTTCTTTTAGAGATAAAACTTAGAATAATCAAGGCCACAGAGAAAGGTGAAGGAACCCCAAGGAAATCGTATTCTTTCATAAATGTCCTGTGTTTAAGCAGCAGTGCTAAAGACCTTCATGATTTAATTTTTGCAGAGTTCCCTAGACAACAATATTCACATTATCTGTAGTTCTATGTTGTTCTCCTGATGCCATTAATTACCTGGCAAGGGATGTCTGAATGGTTATCAAAAAGAGCAACTACAGAACTGCTTTAGAGAGTGCACAGGCAAGATCAAGGCTTTTCTGTTGCCACTGAGTAAAGGAAACATCTGATGTCCCTGTTCTTGAAGATGGGTGGAAAAACTAGAGATTTTGCACATTTTGGAATGGTCCTGTCACAAGGAAAGTGTTGCAGAACCTGAAGAATAATGGTCTGCTTGCTGTGCAGATTTATCACAGAAGACAACAATGAAGCCAGAACTGGAAGTAAAATCTAATGTGAAATATCACAAAAATTCAGCACACCCCTTGTCAAAGGAGACACTGACGCTTAACAGTTGACCAGCAGGTAAACCATTGACTTACTATAAACTAGAATTCATGTTCTGAAGTCAACAACTGATAACATGAACTTTATAGTCTGTGATGATACAAGATTTAACTTATAAATGTACAAAGAAATCAGTAATATGGAGTAACTGAAAAGTCTGGTTAATAGTGGGATTACAGAGGAATAATTATTAAAATCCAGAAAAAAATATTTCCAAATGCTTAACATTAGCAGCATGTACCTTCAGCATGCTGGTGAAGACTGAAGGAACTGCAAACAGACAAATGCATAAAAGAAAAAAAAAGCTATTGATTGTAGCCCTGAGCATATTATTGGTGTTTATGTCCCAATGCCCCTAACAGATTTGAGCCCACATCCTGAAGCGAGATACAGATCTACCTCCTTCCCAATTAAGCAGTTGAACTGAGGCATCCAGTACTAGTGCTGGTTAAAATAAACAGAGAAAACTAGGTCCTCACTGTTTACATCAAGAATCCAACAATCCATCAGGGGCAATGAATGACCATTGCTCTTACAATACTCACAGATCATTTTCCCTCTTCTGGAATAAGACGCATTTCCAACTGAACACTACTACCACCCCCCAAAGAAAGTGCCCAAGAGAACATTAACTTTCATATCAACATTCATATCCTAGGGACTGTACCACAGCACCAAGGTGCTACGATTATTTCTGGTGTTGAGGCATCAATGATGAGGCTGCAACAACATAGTACTTTAACAAGTTAAATTCACTTTCTTGAGCTTTCTTGAACAAAGCGCTGTGTGTTAACTACTGAGAACAAAACGTCACTTCTACAGAGGTATCCCCAGCTGGTGCCAAGGGATCTGACAGAACTATAAATCACACAGTTGCTGGACTGGAGAAAACTGATACATGCTTAATGTCTTGGTGTGCATTTGGTAAGCCAGTCCTGTGGAGTCAGTAGCAACACACAAGCTTCATCCATGCCACAGGTCAGTGGTAACTCTACGGGCCCCGCTGGTCTTGTCTTTTTCAGGACAAACCTGGAGAAAGAGACAGGCAACTCCCTGAGGAGTCATCCTAGGAGCAGTATCCCAATCAGTTTGGTTCCAGGGGTGCACAGTGTGGTGCTGATCCCTAGCAATGACCAAGAGGCTCACTGCAACCTCAGACACCTGAGCCAGATGAGGCCTTCACAGCTTTCTCAGCTCTACTCCTGCGCAACCCGGGCACCTAACCCCTTCACTCACTAAATTTAAAAGAACAGCAAACAGAGCACTCAGGAATACATCGCTTTCACTCAGGAATACATCACTTTCTAAGTAATAAAAATACTTCACATATGGATCAAAGATGAAATTCAAACCTTCCGAGTCTCACAGCAATAGATATAAATTATAAAGACATTACTGCTTTCAAAAAAAATGAACAGGATACAGAATAATCAACCGTGCAGAAGAAAATCTGCCTAAGCAGAAGTGGTTCATCTCTGTAGAGTGGCTGGAGGAGCAAACATGCCCCTGAGCATCTTACAGTTCATGCTGTAACGCACTCCTCCCTCTGAGGATAACGGAGGGTTGGGCAAGGAGTCCCTACAGGTACAGCTAAGGGAAAATAATGATGTGATCTGCAGTGAGGAGAAGTATGCATACTGACACTGTCAATGTTCATTTAGAGTATCACCCACTGAAAGACTCAATTATTTATTGATGATAAGAAAACTGTTCAAAATAGGCATGAATTCCTACTGTTACACCCAGCATGAAAAGACCTCTCATAGTTTCTTTTATTCTTTCTCAAGAACAGTTCAGTGTAAAGTGTTTGCTATTACACTGTCACCACTGAAAATCTAATGACTTAGAAAAGGCACAGTACAAGAAGGAAGATAAAAAAGTTCAGTGGGCTACTAAGCAAAGGAAATTTTAAGGCCTTCCAGATCATATAAACCCATTTGTAACTCATCAGCATACTACACTGACCTTGAAAATTTCATAGTTCAAAAAAATCAGTTAAAATTTGGTTTAAAAAAACAGTGTAAGTATTACCACTGGTTTCAATAGGCACAACCAAAGACCCTCAGAACATTTTTAGGCCCTCATGAGGATAAACATTATTAATGTAATACACCTGTAAGGATTAAGTCAGGTAATAACTATAGGACTTCATAAGAATTAGAGACACCTCATAAAAGCACAGTACAAACAGCATGGATAGCCTGTAGGATCTAGAGAATGGCAGATACACCACATAGAGAGCAAACGCTCCCTCATGCTGGTGCATCTTTCCCCCACAGTCTCCAGCCATTCATTATACCTGCATAAATGTAATAGAAAAGGCGTAACAGGGTGCTTTCAAGACCTGAGAGAAGACAGCAGCTCGTGGTTCAGGGTTTCCACTCCCTCATCCACTACCCAACAACTCTGTGCCTTCAGTTCTCCATTGTGAACAACAAACTTCTAAAGTTTAACAGACATAAGGGCATAGTGTAAAATGCTTATGTTTAATACATTTTTAGAAGGCAGGGAACCACTGCTGAACACACTACACTTACAGGCTCTTGTTCTAATCTTCATCATGATGTTTATAATAATATATTGTGAGAAGCACAAAAGAGATCATACAAATAAAATTTGGTTTCTCAAGGTTTCTCAAGGAAGCAAAGATTAAAAGACTTGGAAGTAAAAAGAATGCTCTAAAGCCTAACAAGAAAGTTTTCCAGTCACCAGTTTTGTTGGCTGCAGACAGAAATTAAAATTTTAACTTACATTCCCTAATATTCATGTCAGACATAAAGGAAAATAGCATACAGTTCCTAAACTATGTTTGTGGCTGTACCAATGACTCAGATGGAAAACAGAACTGTAAGTCTTCATTGGACATGATCCTCCACAAAAATAAGAGGACAATATGAAGAAGCAAACAGTCGTGCCACTCCCACTTAATTTTGCATGGAACACAAAATAGGCATTATTATTTAACCTATAGTATGCAGATGAAAAAAAACAAAGTTCTGCTAATAAGCATTTCTTTATTAAAGAAATGTACATGGATATCCCAGACAGCTGGGAACAAAGACCTTCCATTAATCCAGCCAGCCCACAGTTACGTTATTCCCTTCTGTTAAACCATTTACACATGTTCTACCCACTTGCATCAATGGGCAATTTCATACTCTAATCATTAAAGTGTTATCTTCAGAAGAAAGGATAGTGGTAGTTTTAACTTTGCAAGCATGAAAACAATGCAAGGAAAAAAAATGGGTTTCATTAAAAAAAGAGTATTTATTAAAAATGGCAACATGGGGATGTAAATGCAGAGTTACTGCTGGTACCACTCACACGATAAATGCGCTAAGAAACATGGAAGTTAGACGTGACTGCGACTGGCCTATAAATAGTCACAATTCCAATTGCTCATAATTCTTTGAAAATGATCCATTAGTCACATGTTCTGATTGAGCCCTGCATGATAAGTGTGAACTGAAAAGAAATGCCCCTGAAATTTGCTTCCTCTCTTGAACAATACCACCACCTGCCACCTCAGTCTCCATCTGAAGACCTTCACTCTTGCTGAAACCAGCCAGAGATACTTCGCACTTTCTAAAAATAAGGTCTAGAACTGAATACCTCAGCTTCATAAATTCATGATAGAAAACATAACTCCATCAGTTTTAACTTCTGGTAAACAAGTTTTTTTCTACTTAATAATTCAACCTTAACGGGGAGCTTTTAATCATAAATTTTAAAGCTATTTTGTCACATATCTGGTCATTAAACTAAAATCACGTAACACAGAAACTGATTTTGCTTCAGCTGTGAAAATGTCACAGATATTGAAAGAACTCTGCTCAAACTCCAAACAAGAATTACATTTGGGTCAGAGACAAGCCACAAAAAATTACTCCTAAAAATTATCTGCCAGAAATTCATGGGTATGTCAGAATTATGGGTATCACTGGCACTTTCTATAACCATATTTATGTAAGCCCAGTTACCTAAAGAGTTGTTTAATAGAATAAACACATTCTGAAACACAATAAACTACTTTTTATGAAAACTAAGGCTGGTACATTCCCTCTAGAAAAAAACTGTAATTCAAATCAGCATTTCAAATAAATGTCAGTGCACAATAACACAATTTCAAATGGTTTTATCCCCAATTTGATCACCAAAATAGTATAAAAATAATAATAAAAAAATAATTGGTAAATCATTGCCACAGCAACTGTCAGAGAAACCCAGTTAGCATCCCTGTAACCTTGTCTGCTCTTTCAGAATGAAAGAAATTTAAAATGCAATGCAAACAATAGCAACTGAATAAAAATAAAAGAAAAAAGTGAATGTCTACCTGCCACAGGAGATGAATGAATATTACTTTGAAGACAACAAAATTAGGATTCCACAAGAAATACTGAGAAAAAAAACACATAAGCAATTCTACTGAGGAAGTAAGAATACATAAATGAACAATAGTATGTGACAAAACGTATTACAGCTTTCAGGCAAATTTAACAAATACAATTATTGTCTTCTGTCTATTATTAAATATTTTTCCAAGTAATTTCTTTTGCAATGAAATAGTGAACATACCCCATGTTCCACTTAAAGCAAGTCTCTACACTAACAGTTACACACTATGTAAATATTCCACTAGATTTACCTAATTTAAAAAGCTAGAAAACATAAAACATAAGGTTGTGTGCCATGCCTGTAATGTGTGCACACATGCCATAAAAACTGTACAATTCACTATTATACAGTTAGAAGAGAAGCATACGTATGAGCAAGTACATCCAAATGTGCACACACACACTAGTCCTTTCTCTACTTCATACACTCTCCTCCATCCTCAGACACAGAGTATTTTGAGACTGCCATGGGCTGAGAACAATAGAAAACAATTACACAATTATTTCATTTCTAACCTTTTAGTTATTCAAGACACCATTTACACTGCTGCTCTGTAACATCACAAGAGCCTGAGCTGTAATTCCCAGTGATCTAAGGTACAGTCCCACGTACACTTGTTTATGATCTCCAGTGTGTCATGACCAGCTAAATGTACTTGTGAATTCAATTAACTCCTTTTCATGTAAGTTTGTCAGCTTTCCGTTCTATGTCAGGTGACAGCAATATTCCATCTTTATGGGGGCCAGAGCATCTACAGGAATACATTTATTCCTGTTACTTTAAATCTACACATATTCTTGACCATTCCACAGTCAAGTTGTGTTGAGGAAGTTTCAAGCAACTGGCATCCAGAGTTAGGTTTGAGGATACCGTGAGTTGCATGACCGCATCAGCAAGTATAGAGCATTAACATAGCGATACACACGGTTAACACCTATCAGACTGCAGCAAACCACTCTCTAATAGCAGTCTTTGTCTTCTTTATGTAGCACATGTATTTTAATTTTCCTTCCTTTTGAGACCAGGTTCTCGCAGAGATAGGAATGAGGAACAGTGCAGGAAACGAGGGTGTCTCACCCAACAAGCACTGCTGCCGGGCACTTGGTGGTAGGCGTACCACGAAGGATTTGAAACCCCACTTAACTCTTTCTTTTTGACTGCCTCAAGTACAGGCTTCCTACTCTCCTCTTCTAGGCCCTTAACAATCCCGTGTATCAGCTACTGTCACTCTGTGTAGCTAACTCCTGTCTGCTTTGCTACTGTGACAGCTGCCTGACCAGTTCTTCAAAACCCCATTTAGTATTTTTCCACACAATCATTTACACATGGGTGCAAGAAGTAGGAAGCATTTGATGGTGGAAAAGCCTTGGACTTGTGCTTTGACAACTTTGTTTAAACAACTAAGAAGCACACCCTGCCGCTCATGGCATCCTGCTTCCTATGAAACATACGGAACTGACATTGAGCAGTTAGGAAGCAAAACATCCGGCTGCTCTTCATTTTATACAATGTGCATAAATGGCATCTGGTGTTCTAAACACCACAGTATTTAGCAGAGATATTTAAATATACAATTTCCCCCTTTCTTTGGCTCCACAGTATTTAAAAGTAGTAGTACTTGCCAAATACTGAGCCAAACTTGTAGGTCAAAGGCCAAGCCATTTGTAATATTGCATTCTTCAAGAAAACTTGCCAAGCAAAATGTTCCACAAATACTGTTATTCCATTTTGAACAACTCACTATGTAAAACATGCCTTGCCTTATTCATCTCATCCTCTGGAACAAATCTATAGCACTAACATCAAACCACATGAAATCACAGATGGAAAGGAATTGTTTTGGAAAAACGGTGAGGAGATACTACAGCCTACAGATTCATGCTCTACCACCTATTGCGGAGGCAGCATATCTCCCTAACCTAAATACAAATACTGAAGAAAAAAACAGCCCAGCAATGAAGATTGAGCATATCATAGACACAGATACTAAAATATTTTAGAGAATAAAAATCAGAATTATTAAATATCGACTATCAATACACGACTGCTCCAAAATCAGATGTAAAATCCTTCCTTCTTCTTTCAGTAATGTGCATCCTGATTCAAAAAAATAGCAATTATTTTAATTCTTTCAAAATAATGAGTTATGAGCAACCCTATAAAAGCACTGGAAGATTATTATCTTCTCTGATCATGTTTAGATTCTGGGGTGCTATTAGGATCTCTGAGATTATCAGTGGTGAATGTGAACTTGGAAGCAGAATAAAACAGAAAATACAGCATGTCAGACACAGGTAAAATTTGTTGTGCGTCCAAATACTAACTGGAGACAAGAGAGGAACTATTAATCTGAAAAACCTGGCTATAAAATTAAGATAAATTAAAATACAACAGGGGATAATCTGTATTTTATATAAACTGGTTCACGGCATTCACTGTCAACTGAGAGCTGATTACACTGAAATCTTAGTATATTTATTCAATAATTATCAACATGTGCAAACTACTGCTTTGCTGATAATTAACAGCCATATTTATTTGGTTTTATATGAACATTTGGCCTCATTTCTATATTTATTTTGATAAAGTCCATTTTGTCTGCAAAACCTATTTTCTTTTGAATTTATTCACTACTACATATTACATAGCAAGAAGATGACCTCCTCTCTGTGTATAATGCATTTGATAGGCTATGAAGGCAATGTTAGATAAAACATTAAAGCATTCAGAGTACGAGAGTGCCAAATACTGGTCTAAAATAAGAGGGAAAAAATTTATCTCCTTATAGATGCTTATCTAGACTCCAGCAGAAGAGCAGACTAGGCCATCCCAAGAGAGCAGGGGGAGCCAGGTCCCAGCATGGTCCCATTCCACAGTCCTAAACAGGACTGTTCCCAAATGGCAGTATGGATGAGGACTCACTCCTGAATGTGGGAAGGGCTTAGCATATAGACACAAACCCTACTGTGGCACTTACATGTACCCATCTTATTTACTAGTTAAATAAATAAAATGAGTTTCAAGGGATGTATAGCATATAGAGAGAAAATAGAAGAGTTACAAATGGGTGTTGAGTTCCCAAACTACTGCGCACACCCGTTTGTGGGATATAGTAATTTTTTGCTGCTGTTTTAAGTATTACCTTCAAAAGTATTCTGCACACAATTTTATTCTGCACATAATAAAATTAATCACCACAGTTTTGAATTGCCAGAGACCCACTCTGAGCATCACACCGGCAGCTTACGAGGGCTCTGCTGGGAAGTCTCTGAACACATGCTCTGAACCAGATTGATCCATCCCCTCTTCCGAGTCACCTCCGGAGGAGAGGGAAGGGGATGCAGATCCCCATGGGATTCTTCATTTCCTGGCAGGAAAGCCAAGTAACTTACAGCCATTTGTCTCAGGTGGGGAGACTGGGTCAATTGCTGAGGTGAGCAGCTCGAGAGAGGACGCCTTCAGCACCGGAGCGGGGGGAGATCAGCGTCCAGGAGCCTCGACTCAGAGCAGCGAGAGTCACCGAGGGAGCCTCAAGTCCTCGACAGGACCTGCCCGGGAGCCGGCAGCTCAGCTGAGGCGAGCAGGGACTCACACGGGGCGGAGCCAGGAGGGGCGGCACCAGCCCTGCGCGGGTAAAAGCCTGCCCCAGGGAGCGCGGCGAACAGGGCGGGTGGAGGCAGTGCGCGCGTGATGGTGAGCGCTCGCTGCATGAGCAGGGCCCGGTTCTGGGAGCTCTGCTCTGGCTGCCCCGGCGGTGGCAGCGTAGGCACCCAGGCAGAGGAGATGAGAGGGGAGGCTGCAGTGCAGAGCTCGGGGTGCAGAGAGTGCCTGCACTGGTCTGGTGAGGGGAGGGTGCACAATGGGCAGGGCTGCACTCGGTGCTCCCTGGTGGAGGTCCTCCTGCAGCACGTGCCTGAGCTGCGGGACGCTGTCAATAGGCTGAAAGATGTCAGGGAAGCTGAGAGGAAGCAGAAATGCTTGCTCCTGGCCCAGACTGTGCAGGGGAGTCCACTGCAGCTCATGGAGGGATGAAGGAGGCCGTTAACCCAGGAAGCTGGGAAACAGCAACAACAACAACAAAAAACAAAACACCAAACAACAACAACAAAAAAAAACAAACACAACAACAACAAAAAAAGGAGGAAAAGGACAATTAAAGGCAAGGGGCTTCCTCCTAAACCTGTTGCCCCGCCCAGAACCGCTTTGCTGCCCTGCAGGGGTATGATAAGGAAACGAACTCACGCCAGAAACAACCGGCTGGTGCACTGCTAAAGAAGATCTCTACTGGTGCTGCTAGAAAAAAGCAGCAGGTCGTAGCAGTGGGGAACTCTACTTTGAAAAGCACAGAAGCACTCATCTGTCGGCCTGACCCGGTCTCAAGAGAGGTGTGTTGCCTACTAGGGGCACTGATCAGGGATGTGGCAGAGAGGCTGCCTGCTCTAGTAAGTCCCACTGACTATTACCCTCTTCTAGTGATCCATGTGGGGGCTAGCGATATAGACAGCTTTAGCCTGGAGAACATAAAGAAGGACTACAGAGCCCTGGGAGAAGTGGTTAGGGGCTCTGCAGCTCAGATAGTCTTTTCATCAATTCTCCAGGATAAAGAGGAGGACCCTAAAAAGGCTAGGAGGATTGGGCAGGTTAATAAATGGTTAGAAGGGTGGTGCCATAGTCAGGGGTTTGGGTGTCTTGAACAAGGGACCTAGTTTAGCAGGCCAGGTCTACTGGGGGCTGGTGGAACTGGTCTAGGAAGAGTGGTTTTGGTAGGAGGCTTGCCAGACTGGTCAAGGAGGCTTTAAACCACGTGTGTTGGGGGAGGGGGGCATCATTCCATCCCAACACACCCAGTCAGTTGCCAGCACCTATAATAAATGCTTGGAGCAATGTAGAGATATTCCGGCCTCTCCAGCCAATGACCTGGCTTCATTTGGAGCTTGGCTCAGATGCCTCTATACAAATGCCTGTAGCATGGGGAACAAACAAGAGGAATTAGAGATGTGTGCACGTCTACAGGGGTATGATATAATAGGCATCACAGACGTGGTGGGATGGCTCCTATGACTGGAGTGTTGAAATGGAAGGTTAGAGGCTCTCTAGAAAAGACAAGCCTGGCAGATGGGGAGGAGCTGCTATTTACGTTAGGGATAGGCTGGAGAATATGGAACTCTGTTTGGGGACAGGTGAGCAGTCAACAGAGTTTGTGGGTCAGGGTTAAAGGGAGAACAGCTATGGAAGACATCACTGTGGGGATCTGTTACAGACCGCCTGATCAAGGAGAACCTGGATGAAGCACTCTATAGACAGGAAAAGCCTCACGCTCGCAGTTCCTTGTTCTCATGGGGGATTTCAACCATCCTGACATCTGTTGGAGGGACGGTACTACCCGGCACAAGCAATCCAGGAGGTTCCTTGATTGTGTGGAAGACACAGCTTCCTTCTGCAAGTAATAAAGGAGCTGACAGGAGAGAAGCCATGCCTGACCTCGTGCTCACCAACAGGGAAAGGCTGGTTGGGAATGTGATGCTCCAGGGCAGCCTTGGTTGTCGTGATCATGAGATGGTCAAATTTGAGATCCTCAGGACAGTGAGAAGAGCGTGCAGCAAGCTCACTGCCCTGGACTTCAAAAGAGCAGACTTTGGCCTCTTCAGGAACCTGCTTCGGAAGGTTCCATGGGGAATAGCCCTAGAGGGCAGGGGGGGCCAAGACTCTTGGTTGATGTTCAAGGATCACCTGCAGCAAGCTCAGGAGTGTTGCATCCCAACCAGAAGGAAGTGCAGCAGGAGGGCCAGGAGACCTCCTTGGACAGATAAGGAGCTGCTGAGGAAAATTTGAGGGGGAAAAAAAGAAGCTTTTAAAAAGTAGAAGCAAGGACAGGCAGCCTGGGAGGAATACAGGGATGTTGTCTGGGAAGGTAGGGACCAGGTTAGGAAAGGTAAGGCCCGGTTAG